TTGGGATCTGACGCTTGACAGCCGCACTTCAACGGCCACCTACCGCCGCCACCTGCCATCGTCGTCACCAGCCGCAGAGACGGCTCCGACAAAGATAGCAGTGGCGGTTCTGCCCAGCCAGAGGGGATGACATCCGAACTGGCAAGAGCTTAGAAATAATCATACCCGATCTGATAGAAGCTTAGAAGTGAGTGCGCGAGGTGGTTATAAAAGGCTCCCTACCCCCCAAGAACAAGGTATGTGAACTTTGTGCCATCTGGTTTTATCTTGCCTTTGAGAGAATTCTAACTTGAGCTTCAGAGCATTCATACCGGGTTCCCCCCGGAACTTCCTCATTTTCTCCGTTTTCAGGCTCCCTGTAACTCCGTTCAGAGACAAGGTCATTGACAACTAGGACCAACCGGTTGTAATGCGTACTCTGTAACATTCTTTTTTCCAAATTTCAATGCATAAATGTATTGAATACACAAAATCTATACCAAATATCACCACTGTTTGGTTTCGTTGCCACTATGTTTTTTGATTGGAGATGCATATAGATGATGATCGATGTGATGCAGTTTTCTCTAAAAGTGGCAAATGAAAAAGTATATAATACCTTCTAACGTTACCGTTTTATGAAAAAATACAAAACAGAAACCAAACACCATAATAATTTTCTTGAACTGAACGGTTTATTGCATGGATAAAAGTACAAATAAGCCCAGTTCAGAATTTACTAGGCGCAAATACAGAGAGAATGCATCCTATATGACAAATTCACGGGTAGGATGTGGTTTATAAGGGGAACTTGTAGGGGGCTGAAATTCAGAATTTGCATCGTATGTCTCCGTACTTTTCCCTAAATATTAACGGTACGATGACCTACCTAACTTCAGCCACTACGAGCCCATAACCTCTTCAAAAAACTTTTTCAATAAAAGACAAAACAATGATACTTTTCACCGTTTATTTTATTTTAAAATATTTGCTCATAAATTAAATCTAATGCAATTATGCAAAAGGATATCGAGATATTAATTGGTGTGAGTTCCATTCTTTAAGATTAAAAAAAAAAAATCAATCCAAATGCTTCGAGACTTGCACTGTCAATGGTACGTGTCATTAGCTGGTCACAGAAGATAAAGAAATGTCTGATCTGAACACGTGGCAAGGTTCTGAACTGAAACAAGCAGGTGGGGTGCATCGGGCGCTAGTATGGCGCCACATGATATTGAGTGTACACGTGGCAAGAAATAGTGTTTAAAAAGCGAGACGTGGCCTGTAAAGAAAACAGAAGACCGTATTTTTTTTTGTCCCCTTTTGTATTGCCCCAAATGCTAAGTTCTAATGTAACCAATCTAATGATGCCTTTTCTGGTCATTTCCATCATGTAATGCTCAATTCAGGTTTAATTGGGCCCACCGTTTGAAAAATATCGAACATCTCACATGCGGGTACGAAAAAAAAAATCTTGTTAAACCTAACATTTTTGGGGCCCACTCTAGATATACAGTTAGTAGGTCGCGCGTTCAATTTCTATGCTCCTTGATCATCCGAAACTACCCAACCCAACTATTGACTACCAAGATCAATTTCCGAGGATCTGACGCTTCAGATTGATGGGTGTGGGCCCGTTATTTGTATAGTTGCTTAAGCCGCACCACACTATAGCCAGATGGTTTCCTTTTGCTTTGCATCGACAGTCAGTGAATCGAGATGCCATTATGCCAAAAATGTCCTTCTTTACAAAAAAAAAAACAAGAGGCGAAGAAATTCTAATGGCGATTAGTCGCCGATAATCTCTCTGAGCCCATCGAACGGCCACGCGTGAATCGATTTCACTACAAATACAGAAGCCGGGTCCTTGCTTCTCTCGGTGCTCTGAGATATCTCAGTCTTGTTAGAAGTATCTCTCAAAGCTTCCTCTTCCTCCAGCTACAGAGTAGATCTTGTAGGCGAATCATGGCCACCATCCAGTGCGTCAAGGCGAGGCAGATCTTCGACAGCCGTGGCAATCCCACCGTCGAGGTTCGATCAGATCTTCCCTTCACTCTGTCGATCGATCCCTTCCCATAGTTCCCGGTTTTGTTTTATTTCTGAACGCCGATTAATTAAGTTGATTTCACAGTGAAACTTTAGTGGTAAAAGCTATGATTTTTTTTTCTTTCTCTATCTGAGAGAGTTATGAACCAGTTGAGATGACTAATTAGGAATCAAATACTCCTACAAGCGAGTCGCAACTCGTAATAAATGGCACACTTAGTTGATTTAAAATTCAAGAGAGAAAAAAAATGTACAAATGGAAAAAAAAAAGAAGAAATATCGTGAAAGGCCTTCTTTCTTAGTTTTTTTTTTTTTTTTTTTTTTATATTCGTTTCTTATTCAGTTATTTGGATGTAAATTTTCAGGCTGATGTTACATTATCCGATGGCACCGTGGCTAGAGCTGCAGTTCCTAGCGGAGCATCCACTGGTGAGACTTCGGCTAGAGCTTCCGGCCTCGTTTTTCTTATTCTTTTCTTTTGCATTGTTTGTTATATCTAACCGTGTGCTTTATTAGTATGGATGATGACCTCAGTTGTTATTTATTTGGTTATTAATCAGTAGGAAGTTGTGAATCATTCGATTAGAAGGATAAGACATGCAACAAGATGTTCTCGATCCATATCTCCCCACTTCCTAAATGCATGCCAGCATATCTGTTTGTTCCCAACTTCCCATCCCAAATTCTATTCATTTAATAACACCATCTGTGTGGAACTTGTATAGATACTTGTTTTATGCCTGCCTTCCATATTATATATTGCATCACTAGATATTTCACACTCAGGGTAGCTGAAACACTTCAGTTTCCACGTTGATTTGACGATTCGTACTCCTTGTACATGTTATTAGTATACAACTGCAGGGGAGCGATCATCTCATGCATCATTTTTTTTTTTTTCAGGTGTCTACGAAGCACTTGAATTGCGAGATGGAGGTTCTGATTACCTTGGAAAAGGTGTATCGAAGGTCAGTTTTCTATTTTTAGGTTTATTACTGCGCATCTTTAAGATTTGATAGAATGATTTGAAATAGCCAGTTATCATTGGCCTAATATTGAGATCTGAAATTCCTATATTTGTAGTTCAAAGTAGAATTAGAGGATCAGTAATCAAAGTACTGTTTGCTGACTTTCTTATTGTTTTCTACAAATATAGGCTGTCGAGAATGTCAACACCATCATTGGACCTGCATTGATTGGAAAGGTTTGCTACACTCTATTCTTTCTTATTTTGTTTGGTGGAACATTCTATTTTCTTTCAAAATGTCAGTTTTACCATTTACAGAATTACATCAAATTCCAGCTTGAAGAAATTTAACTTTTAGGGGGAAGGGTCAGAAAATGGATTAAAACTCGCCAACTTCATGATGCTCAGTTTAGATTACTTGGAGCCCAACCAATCTTTATGCAGAAAAATATTTATAACCCAATTAAAATGCATCAAGTTGGCTGAATTCCAAGTTATTGAAGTTAATGAGCATAGATTCCATTGCTGTTACTCTTTGAGAGCAATAAATAAATAAATTTCCAATTTTACATTTAAGAGTTATTATTGTTGTCCTGTTTTTAACTGAAAAGCAATCTCTTTGCTTTATGTAGGACCCAACTGAACAGACTAACATCGATAACTACATGGTGCAACAACTTGATGGAACTGTAAACGAATGGGGTTGGTGCAAACAGAAGGTATTAAACCAAGTCCCCATTATTATTTTCTATATACATTGGTCGATTCATATCGGTTCACGTTTTTTGTATATTGTCCTTCCAGCTTGGAGCAAATGCCATATTAGCAGTGTCTCTTGCAGTTTGCAAGGCTGGAGCAGGTGTGAAAAAAATTCCTCTCTACAAGGTATATAGTAATATAAGATTGCCCATCACTTGATCATTATGCTTCTTCATTAATAACTCTTATAGTTATTATGGGTAAAAGCAAATCACTTGGACCATTATATTTCTTCATCTTTTGCTTCCTTGGCGGTAGTTCAGTACTGCCTGATCAATCAAATAGCACTAAAAGGAAAATGATGAAATGGTGAAAGTTGGGAGTGTGAATGGATACCATTACTATAGTTCTAGCTCCATAATCAGGAACGGAGGAAATCTTGTACAAGAAGTTTTGAACAATGTGTGTTGATTCTTCATTGATAGTAATGCAATTTTCTGTTTGATCAAGAACCCGTATGGCTATAATTGTTCATTTCCTTTTGCTTCTTTGGTTGAGTATAAATTTTAGTGCTATTCTATTTTACATGATAAACAAATACCAATGGAGCGCTGACTGTTTACTGGGTCTGGTCTGAAATCCTAATATATCCGAATTACGAGTTGGGTCTGTAGCTTGGTGTTCAATAATTATAAAATGGACCGTAACCAGACTGAAGATTCTAGACTACGTGGGTGTAGGCTTCTTTTTATTTCTTTTTTGGCAACATATGCACCTTGGATCGATAAAWAAAGAGAATACTGAGGCTGATATACTTGCATAACACATCACCCTGACGCTTCAATAAACTGAATTTCAGTTGCCAAATCCCTATCAACCTTCACCCCTGCAACCATTAAAAGACAACTAATAGCACTACAAAGTTTTCATGATTAAGTTTCTTAAAGATCTCATAGGAATTAAGGATCTAATGCTGCTATTTGCGTGGTGATGCAGCATATTGCCAACCTTGCTGGTAACAGGACCTTGGTCCTGCCAGTTCCTGCGTTCAATGTCATCAATGGAGGATCGCATGCTGGAAATAAACTTGCAATGCAGGCAATGCTTCTATATTCATTTCCTATCCATTTGCAGCAGGCACTCAACCTTGACATTAAGGTTTCTGATGGGCTTTTGTTTCCAGGAGTTCATGATCCTGCCTGTTGGTGCTTCATCCTTCAAAGAAGCCATGAAAATGGGTTCTGAAGTATATCACACTTTGAAGGTATCAACTTTGTCTGTTTTTCCTGTTGTCTCTCTGAATGTGTTTCTGTTCTATAATTTGTTCAATTAAGTAATCATTTTAAGGTTGCATTCCTTCATTTCTGAAGTTCCCTTTTCACATGTCTTCATGTGTGAAAATCTACCATATGAAATCTCATTACTAAGAGTTTCCCAAAGGATGCAATTTGGTGGCTAGTATCATAAGAGAGCCTAGGTTGAAATTTATCCCGATCAAGTATTCCTAATAATCTGATACATGTGCTTCCTTTAAGAAGTTTTCACAACTTCAGCTTGATCTTAATCTGGTTTCTAGGCTCTACTTCAAAGGCTTCACCATGCATCCCATTTGAAACAGTGTGATGAAATGGATATTAAGTTCCACCTGATTAAATCAAATGTCTTGGCCCCTAGAAATCCCAATATGTATAGGGCACTTCTCCCTCATCCTACCTTGGCTATTATACCTGATTGAATATATGTACATTTTGACATTACCCTATTCCTGACTTTCCTGGTTGATCCAGACAGTCCAATTTTGATGGAAACCCATGTAAGAATGACTGGGCGTGTCTCTTCTAATTGTTCTTTCCAATAATATGTTATTGTTCCTAACATTCATTGGGTCTGTGACTCTTCATTTGTAATAATTTCTCCTTTATTACAAGTGTGTCCCATAAAAGAAAGTATTATATGGATCCTTCTGGTTTCCTTGTATTTTACAACTGTAGATAACTCACTACTGCCATTGGTTTGCAAAACATACTAATAAGCATCTGCTTCAGGGTGTGATAAAAAAGAAGTATGGTCAAGATGCCACGAATGTTGGTGATGAAGGAGGCTTTGCTCCTAACATTCAGGTTTGCCGTGTTTCATTAAGTTACCCAGCCATGCATGATTATTGATTCCCCCCCATTTTCTTTTTCTCATTCATCATTTGTTCTTCGGTTTTTACTCAAATTTACATGTTATTTCAGGAGAACAAGGAAGGTCTTGAGTTGCTCAAGACAGCCATTGCTAAAGCTGGTTACACAGACCGGGTATGTTTGTTTCTTCACTTTATTATGGTTCTTGTGTAGATATTGTAGGGTAGAATTTGAGACTGTAAGAGATGCAGTAAAATGAGGATATTTACCATTCTTCATCAGGTTGTTATTGGCATGGATGTTGCTGCTTCTGAATTTTATGGGAAGGACAAAACGTATGACCTAAACTTCAAGGAAGAGGTATTCTCCTCCTTCCCCCCCCCCATACATGTATGTGATTCTGACCTGGTTATTGTGTGGGTGCAGAACAATAATGGGTCACAGAAGATCTCTGGAGATGCCCTCAAGGATCTCTACAAATCATTTGTCTCTGAATACCCAATTGTATCCATTGAAGATCCATTTGACCAAGATGACTGGGAACACTACAACAAGCTAACATGTGAAATTGGAGAAAAAGTGCAGATTGTGGGAGATGATCTCTTGGTTACCAACCCAAAGGTTAGTATCAGCATTTTGGTTTCTGTGTGTCATCTAGAAGTAATCTTTGTCTGGTGTCTGCAAAAAGAAGAATGCTTTGCACAATATTTTGATATCTCTGTCTATTTGGTTCATGCTTACAGAGGGTTGAGAAAGCCATCAAAGAGAAGGCATGCAATGCTCTTCTTCTCAAGGTACATCATTTGTTGCCTTGTTCAATTTAGTCTTTCTTTTTTTCGAGATTATGATTTTTTCTMATTAAAAACATCGTTTGGTTGTTGGGAAGTGCCTCGTGTTTTCAATTTCAGTCAGTAGTCAAAAGCACGTAATCCTTTACACCTATTTGGCAACAGGTCAACCAAATTGGTACTGTGACCGAGAGCATTGAAGCTGTAAAAATGTCCAAGCGTGCTGGATGGGGTGTCATGGCCAGCCATCGCAGGTCTGGATTTACCCTTTTACCATGTGATTATGGAGATTCCATTCTGTTAATTTCAATTATGTGACAATGGATTCTGTTTCTGTTACAGTGGAGAGACAGAAGACACCTTCATTGCTGACCTCTCCGTGGGTCTGGCCACGGTAATTTACTTAACTTTGAATATTAGTTAATTGAGTAATTTCAGTAGATATATAATAGTAGTAGTCATTGTGTCATTGAGAAGCTGACAATTGTTCCTCCTAAATCTTTGCTTTTTATCAGGGCCAAATTAAGACAGGAGCCCCATGCAGGTCAGAGCGTTTAGCAAAATACAATCAGGTAGCATATTGGACTTTGTTCTACTAACTTGGTCTCCTTTGTCTTATTTTATAAGATGATACAGCAGATTGGTTTTGAATCCTCAGATGAACCATGTATGATTTAGATATGAATACTCAATTTCTTTGTTTGCAGCTGTTGCGAATTGAAGAGGAACTTGGCTCTGAAGCAATTTATGCTGGAGCAAACTTCCGCAAGCCTGTTGAGCCCTACTAAATTTTGAGACCAGTTGAAAGTTGTGAACGCGGCATCAGTGCACTGAATAAGTTTGTAGTAAGAATGAGAGTGTTGAGTGGACGATCTTCTGAATAATCTTATGTAGGAAAGTTGCTGTTTTGACTTTCTGAGTGCTAAAGTTGTGTATTATTTAAAGAGGAAGTCTAATGTTGAGGGTTTGCTAACCCGGAGTTTGTATCCGTATTCTAAGTGTCTTATGTCCAACATCGAATTCAGCTTTTAGTTATGCTTTGTGCATATTTCAGTATTTCTTCAATTCTGTGGTTACGTTTTTGACGGGTGCAATAAAACAAGAAAGTATAACAAAGGCCAACACGGCTGAATAAGCCGGGCTTAAAGTCTATTTTATATTGCCATCAGTAAAATAGAAATGATTTTAACACTGATCATGACTCGTTAGTCTATTGAAGGCTAGAATTTCTGAGAATGAATTGAATCAATCGTCAATGGTTTATTCCTATGGTCAAACAGGAATGGAAATTGGAATCAGTACGAATGAGATTTTATTTTCATGAGAGAGGCAGGGAATAGTTATATGTCATTTCAAAGAACAGGAATTAGATTTCGATTCTGCCCAACTAAAATGGTTGGAATCAAACGGGCCTAATATCACAGATTCCAGTCTCCGGTTCTCCATGGAATGCATCCAACGGGTGAGGTTTCTAGAGAGATTTAGAAGTTTAAGATGGACAGGAATTGTATTTGGAAAAACCATAATTGGTGTTAGCCCTGTCTTTTAGAAACTTTGCTATTTTGACTTGTTTTGTATCCTTCTTAAAGACGTGCAGTTGTGATTATAACAAGCGTTTACAAAATGTACTATTGCCACCAAAACAAACTYATGGGTATACTCTTTCAAGATGAGTTCATTTCTTTTTAGTGAAGACTATAGATCCCCCAAAGACTGGTTACCTGGTGGTGATCTGTCCTTCATGTTTCCAATGTATGAAGTGGGCCAAAGACTGGTTATCTGGTGGGTTCATCTTATGTGTCAACGGTTTTGTTGTATGTACCGCCAGGTGGTAGTATGATGGATAAGTGTCGGAGTGTGGGGCTCTCCTAAAAGGGAGCTCGTCTCATTAATGAGGAAGGGGCTCTTTTGGAAGGGAGCCCGTCTCGACAAGGAGGTCTCCTCTCAGAGGTCAGAATTGTCACATGTGAGTTGAGCTGAGAAGCCTGAGGTGGCTTAATATGTCGCCAAGGTGACTCTTATCCTTTGAAATAACCTCTAGATGACGAGTTTCGAACTGAAGTTAAGGCTGCAAGTCTACCTAAGTGTGCCACATGTTCGACAGTTCGGAGGTCGGATTTATTCTAATCAGTATGTATGTATAGACTAAGAAAATAGAAAAAGGAATTAATTTGGTCTAAGAAAAAGAGGGTCATGGGTTTTTACTCAAAAGACCGCTTGATGTTGCAATGTTCATCTCCTGCCATCCCTCCCCCCTTCTGATCTACATTACAGAGTTGGGTTTCCTGATCTACGCTGTAGAATTCGTCCCACTCATTAGGTCGAATCAGCTTCCCCCTTGTCGCAGCTAGGTAGCAAACCAATGACAAGATAGTTGGGTTTTCTGGGTTGCTGATTTTTGTTTTTTTGTTTTTCTGTGAAATTTGACAGTTGGGTTCTCTAGGTTGTCATTTATTTTTCATTTCTTCACCGGTTCGTTCTGATTGTGAGATTAATGGAATAGTGCGGTCTTCCAAGTGACGATTGGTTTGTTCAGTCAACTGTCGTTTCTATTCATGGAAACGCCGGATCTGAAAATCGGCGTAACAGTCCCATTTACAGAGTTTCATGTCTTGGAGAAGTTAATGCGATTTCTCATGGGAGAGTTCTCTTCACTACTTAATGGACGCCAACAGAGTTCTCTTCACCTCATTCACCGAAGGTGGAAGAGAGAGAGGAGGAGGAAGAGGGTGCGGATGTTGTGTTTAAGACAATAATTAAAAAGTAAGAATATAATTTGTTCAGTTTGAAAAGGTTATAAATACAAATATGTACAGTACAAATACATAAAATATAATACAAAATACAAGGTTATAAATATAAATATGTACAGTACAAATACATAAAATACAAAATTTTGTATTCTTGTATTCCTTTTGAACTGAGCCTACCTTGATTTGTATTTGTGAGAATTTATTTGATATGTAAAAAAGTATTTTTGGATACTTTTGTACTCTAAAAAGAGAATATTACTATGTTTATTTTTTTTATACAATTTTGTGTTCTTTTGATAATTAACTTTTTGATCAAAATTAAGACATCAGAGCATAAGATARTTGGAGTATTTAATAATAAACTCAAGTTTTACACCAATTTCAAACAAACAAAATAAATACAAAAATGATTTAAATATACAATATCATTGCAACCAAACGCAGGCTAAAAAAATTTGCTCTTAAAGCAAAAAATTGTATGGCAGGCGCTTGGGAAATAGAATCATTATTTTATATAACCTAATACAGGCATTTATATATTAATGCCTTTAACCATTGGGCGATAGGTCTTTTAACCATTGGGTTGACCCGACTTTAACCATGTGAGGTGGCTCTCGACTTTAACCGGCGACTGGTCTTTAACCATGTGAAGTGAGCGTGTGATCACTTCCTTTTAACCATTGGATAGTATGCTTACAGTACCGTCGCTCCCTTTTAATTATTCGTTGATCGAGGGGTTGAGATAGTAGAGGTCTCGAGTTGACGGCCTGAGATAATCTTGACGACTAACATCTAACTTATTATATACTTAAAACACTTGTGTGCGAACTTTAAGCTTGCACGTGTGGGCTTTAAGGTTGATTATGGACCGGACAAAGCTAGTCCGTTAGACAAAGCCTGATGGACATAACCCGATCGGATGCTTTGCTGGTGCATAATGGGCTGATAATAACCTAATGGGCATAGCCAAATGGACAATGGACAATAGTCCGATGGACAAAGGTTTTAGGGTGGTCATGGAACGGTGGGACTGACAACTACGCTTAAAGAGTGAGGCGATGCTCGGGCTGAGTGAGGATTGACAGCTGATGGCCCGTAGGACTGATGCTTGACTCTCAGGCTGACAAGAGACATGGCGGTGGAAGGGATAATATTATCGAAGGAGAGAGGAGCGGTAAAGTGGAGGAGCGGAGAGGGAGCAAGAGAGACACTGTGGGTACTCTCCACATTTTCTCAGAATCTCCTCTCTCTCTCTCTCATGAATGGCATAACCTCTATCGATCGATGCCACAACCTATCTCAGCAGTTGAAGTAAGAAATTCGAAGCGGGAGGGGATGGGTCAAGAGAAAAGCAAAGCTAAACTTTTTTGTTGATGGGATTGGAGTTGGACAACATGTTTTATGTCGACCTAAAATTGTTGATTCCTGTCTCAAACTTGTAAGCAATTAAGGTGAGTTTGGATTTTTGGTTAGTGTTAGCGTATTCTATCAAAATTAGTTTTTTATCATTATCTTGTACATATCTTATTTTTTTCTTCTTTTGCATTCTAATTTAGGTCGCCGATCTTGTTTTCTGATTGTATCCCTAGCATCTATTATAAATAGGTTGTAACTTATTGAATTCAATATCAAGAAATATTATTTTCTCCAATTATCTTCTTTGTTTTTGTATCATGGTATTAGAGTTCCTCTCTGCAAAAGTTTGGTGATTTTTTTTTCCACTTAGTCCCGTTTGATCCTCTTGAGTTCAATACATGCGTTCTAATTTCTCCTTTTTYTTTTCCAAAGTTAGTATTAGGTTTTTCCTTGATTCGTGTTGTTGCAAAGTTCTGTGTTTCTCTTCATGGATTCATCTGAACATGTGCAACATATCTCTCATCCCATCACTGTTACCTTCGATGGCTTAAATTTTGATTTATGGTCTCAATAGATGTGCAATTTTCTCAAGGGACGACTTCTATAGCGATATGTGACTGGTGAGATTCCCAAACCTATTAAAGTTGCTAATGAAATAGAATATAAGTTTGCTGAACGCGTAGAAAGATGAGACGGAAAAAATCATCAAATATGGGCATGATTTCGTAATACTTGTATTGCAAGCATCAAGTTGGAATTTCACAAATATGATTCTCCTAAAGAGATATGGGATTTCTTACAATCTCGTTTCTATTTCTGATGATGTACATCAGTTTCAGTTCTATAAGCATCTTCACCGTATGAAGCAGCAACCTGAACAAACCATTCACAATTATATCTCTGAATTACAAGTTCTTTGGGATCAGTTAGCACAGTGTGAACCTGAATGGGATAGTACCTCTGCAGCTATTACTTATTCTAAGCTTCGCGATTGCCAACATGTTTGGCATCTTCTGATGACTCTCAGGGATGAGTATGAACCTATTACTGGTACTCTACTTCATTGTAGCCCATTGCCTTCCCTTGAAAATGTAATCAAAGATTTGCTCTCTGAAGAAATTCGACTAAAAACACTTCGAGATGAGCGATCCTTATTATCTATTGATGTTGTTCTTGCTACTCCAATCACCCCGAGTACGTCTTCTACTTCTTCAACTTCCTCTAAATCTTCAAAAAGGAGTTTCTGTAATTACTGCAAAAAGACTGGTCATACTATTTTTGAGTGCCGCCGCTTGTAAGCCAAAAAGGCGTCTGGACAAAAGTCTTCATTCATGGGTTCTCAGGCTTTGAGTTCTACTACAGTTGATGCCACAAAGGATTCTTCTAATAACACATCTCCAAAATTTTCACTTAGAGAACTCCAATCTCTCTTCACCGGCTCCAACTTGATATTGGTATGCCTTCTAATTCAGTCTTGTCTGTCACTCCAAGTACTACCTCATGGTATTTTGATTCCGTTTGTTGTAATCATATGACATCCAATTCATCCATGTTTACTTCCAARTCACATCATTCTATTACACTAATTGTTCATACGGTCGATAGTTCAACCTTAACTGTCAAAAGTGTAGAAACTATTTCAACATCTCGTTTGTCACTACCTAATACTTTTTTGATACCTTAATTATCTCTAAATCTTATATCTATTGGAAAATTATGTGAACTTGGTTTTGAAATACATTTCTCAAGTCGTGGTTGTACTGTGCATGATCCACGGATAGGGAATATCATTGGGATATGCCGTAAGGTTGGGAGACTGTTTGAGCTATCATCTCTTCAATTACCATTTCTTGCTGCTGTTGTCACCTCTAGTGTTTGGCATTCTCGCCTAGGTCACATTTCTACATCTAGATTAAGATCTTTAATTTCTAATGGATGTTTGAGTCTTGTTAAAAC